TAAATGAATTACAATGAGCCCGGCCGGCGTGGCTCAGTGGTTGAGCGTCAACCTATGAACCAGGAGGTCACGGTTCGATTCCCGGTCAAGGGCACATGCCTAGGTTGCAGGCTCCATCCCCAGTAGGGATTTAATTTTTTTAGTAACCTCCATACTGTTTCCCAACGTGACTGCCCCATCATAGGTTCCCACCAGCAGGGCATGAGGGCTCCCATTTTTCCACATCCGTGCCAGCTCTTGTTACTGTGTTCTTTGGTGTGTTTTTCTTCTTTTCCAATAGTGGCCGTCCTCATAGCTACGAGGTAGGATCTCATAGTTTCAATTTGGATTTGTCTAGCGATTGGTGATGTTGAGCATCTTTCCATAAGCTTATTGACCATTTGTGTATCTTCTTTGGAAAACTGTATATTCAAGTCCTTTGCCCATTTTTTCATCGGGATGGGTTGCTTTTGTCATTGAGTTGTGGGGGTTCTTTATATAGTCTGGATATTAACCCGTTATCAGATACATGATTCGCAAATATTTTCTTCCATTCTGTACGTTGCCTTTTCACTCTGTTGTTTCCTTTGATGCCCAGTTATTAAGTTTGATGTCGTCCCATTTGTATATTTTTGCTTTTATTGCCTGTGCTTTTGGTGCCATCTCTAAGAAAGTATTACCAAATGCAATGTCATAAAGCTTTCCCCTCTGTTTTCTTCTGGGAGCTTTATAGTTTTAAGTCCTGTGTAGGTCTTCCATTCATGTTAAGTTAATGTTTGTATTTGGTGTGAGGTAAGGGTCTTGCTTCATTCTTTTGTATGTTGATATCCAAGTTCCTCAGCACCATTTATGGAAAAGACTATCCTTTCTTCATTGTGTGGTCTTGGCACCCGTGTCAAAGATCATCCGACCACACGTGTGAGGGTTTATTTTTGGGCTCTTTCTTTTGTTCCGTTGGTCTGCATATTTGCCTTTAGGCCAGCGCCACACTGTTTTAATTACTATAGCTTTGTCATATGTTTTGAAGTCAGGAAGTGTGAGACCTTTGTTCTTCCTTTTCAAGATTGTTTGACTATTTGAGATCCCTCAAGTTTCGTATAAGAAAACCAGAGCATTTAATGCTAAGACGATACATAAGATTTTTAGACATTATTTCTTTGGTCGTCCAAATAATTATCTGTCAAATACTGTGTCTAGGCCTTGGCCGGGTAGCTCAGTTGGTTAGAGTGCCATCCCAATGCGTCAGGGTTCAGGTGTGATCCCCGGTCAGGGCACATACCTAGGTACTGGGTTTGAGCCCTGGTTGGGCACGTATGGGAAGCAACCAATCAGGACGATACATAAGATTTTTAGACATTATTTCTTTGGTCGTCCAAATAATTATCTGTCAAATACTGTGTCTAGGCCTTGGCCGGGTAGCTCAGTTGGTTAGAGTGTCATCCCGATGCGCCAGGGCTTCAGGTGTGATCCCCAGTCAGGGCACATACCTAGGTACTGGGTTTGATCCCTGGTTGGGCACGTATGGGAGGCAACCAATCAAAGGCATGTGCCCTTGGCCAGAATTGAACCTTGGACCCTTCAGTCCGCAGGCCGATGGTCTACCCACTGAGCAAAACCAGCTAGGGATCACTTCATCCTTTTGTATGTTGATATCCAAGTTCCACAGCACCATTTATGGAAAAGACTATCCTTTCTTCATTGTGTGGTCTTGGCACCCTTGTCAAAGATCATCTGACCACACGCGTGAGGGTTTATTTTGGGGCTCTTTCTTTTGTTCTGTTGGTCTGCATATCTTTCCAAGCACTACTCTTACAACCTTCTTGATTACCTCCCTCATCTCATTTATGGCATTTCCTCTTTCTCTGTAGGATTTGCCCAGTTTCTCAGTAGCCACATTCAGGAACTTGTTGGCATTATCTTCAGTTTTTACTAGACAAGTCCCCTTTTCTGCAAAAGGAAAAAAACAAGAAGCATACTTGCTCTTTCGTTCTTTTTCAGCCTCGGAGGCCAGGTCTGAGACTAAGGTGTCACCTCCAGAGCAGCCTGTTTGTGAAGGACAAGCGACCCGGTGGGCGAGACCAGAAAGCCTTCCGAGTTACGGTCTCGAGTGCTCGAGTCTCCCAGTTGACTGGGAGTGCGGAAGCCAGTTTGACGGACAGCGGGAGGATCCAGATGAACGTCTGAGTCACGTGATCGTCCGTCCTGAAGAAATGCCCCCTCTCAGCCCGCAGGCATCCCTTACTTTCTGTGGGAAAGTCCATCCAGGGGACGAGCCCTATGACTATGGCGAATGTAGGGAAGCCTTCTGGCCAGAGGACTTCCTCATTCGCCGCCAGGGAATCCACACCAGCGAGAAACCCTATCAATGTAAGGAGTGTGGGAAGGCCTTCAAGTACGGCTCGCGCCTGGTTCAGCACGAGAACATTCATTCTGGCAAGAAACCCTACGAGTGCAAGGAGTGTGGGAAGGCCTTCAACTCGGGTTCAAACTTCATTCAGCATATATATATAGAGAGAGAGAGAGAGAGAGAGAGAGAGAGAGATAGAGAGAGAGGCCATTTCCAAGCACTACTCTTACAACCTTCTTGATTACCTCACTAATCTCATTTATGGCATTTCCTCTTTCTCCGTACGATTTGCCCAGTTTCTCATTAGCCACATTCAGGAGCTTGTTGGCATTATCTTCAGTTTTTACTAGACAAGTCCCCTTTTCTGCAAAGGGAAAAAAACAAGAGGCATACTTGCTCTTTCGTTCTTTTTCAGCCTCGGAGGCCAGCTTTCAAGCGGGTCTCGCACCTCGCCGTGCATTACAGGATCCACACGGGGGAGAAACCCTACGTGTGCCAGGCCTGTGGGAAGGCCTTCAGCCACGGCTCCCAGCTGACTCAGCATCAGGTTGTTCACACCGAGGAGAAGCCCTATGACTGTAAGGAAGGGGGGAGGACTTTCGATCGTGGTCCTGCTACTCTTCGACGTCGGAGAAGGCAAAGTAGAGAAACACAGGTGAATGTGATAAACATAGAAAAGCCTTCCATCAGCACTTACCCCCTGTTGATCATCAGAGAACTTATGTTAGCAAGCAACCATAGGAATGGAAGTGATGGGGAGAGCCCATTGGCTTAGGCTATTCATGCAATCGATGAATGGAAGTAATGGGAAGAGCCCATTGGCTTAGGCTATTCATGCAATTGATGAATGGAAGTAATGGGAAGAACCCATTGGCTTAGGCTAGTCATGCAATCGATGAATGGAAGTAATGGGAAGAGCCCATTGGCTTAGGCTAGTCATGCAATCGATGAATGGAAGTAATGGGGAGACCCCATTGGCTTAGACTAGTCATGCAATCCATGAATGGAAGTAATGGGGAGAATCCATTGGCTTAGGCTAGTCATGCAATCCATGAATGGAAGTAATGGGGAGACCCCATTGGCTTAGGCTAGTCATGCAATCCATGAATGGAAGTAATGGAGAGAGCCCATTGGCTTAGGCTAGTCATGCAATCCATGAATGGAAGTAATGGGAGATCCCATTGGCTTAGGCTAATCATGCAATCAATGAATGGAAGTAATGGGGAGAGCCCATTGGCTTAGGCTAGTCATACAATCATGAATGGAAGTAATGAGGAGACCCCATTGGCTCAGGCTAATCACAGCTTCCTCCTTTCATCTTGCAGAAAGACGAAGACTATAACAAGCCAGAATGCCTTCATTCAGAGCTGTCCTTCCTCCCGACTCATAAATTTCATACTGAAGAACATTTTTTATGGGTATAAATTGTTTAGACCGTGATTATCAATGAAGCAGGGAAATTTTGGAAAACGTTTTGTCTCTCATACATTCTTGATTCACCTTTTCTAACTACCCACGTAGTAATTTTAACATTAGCCAAAGGTTTAAATTGTCTTGGAAATTGAAAAGAAAAAAAAAAGGAAACAGCCAAATGACTCTTGGGTTAACGAGGAAATAAATCATGCAGTTATAATAAATGGCAAAGAGAAAAATGGCAATGAGAGGTTGGCAGGGTCGCTCAATTGGGTGGAACATTGTCCCGATAAGCCAAGGTTTCAGATTCAATCCCCTCAGGACACACAAGAATCAACCAATGAATGCATAAATGAGGGGGAGGGGGGAAATCCATGTCTCTCTCTCTCTCTCTCTCTCTCTCTCTCTCTCAAATAAATTTTTTAAAGAATGACAGAGTTTTTTACATCCCAACAGACTTTAAATGTTGTGAGACATGAAAACCTGTAAGATTATACTCAGATATATTAACTGTACTATTCAAGAAGCCAGAAGAGAGGACACCAAACATCGCTATGATGAAAGAACAAATTATTACAAGACGATGAAGTAGAAAGTGGTCGTCTTACAATAGTGTGAGTTTTTATTTCTTCCTGACCCAGGAGTAAACTAATTTTAGGCGATGGTGTCTTAACTCCCACCTCATTTGATTGGGGTTATTTTTATACCTTCTGTCACGGATGGAAGGGTTGGTTGCCTGCCTAATAGCCATACTCATTTCCCCTTCCTATTGGCGCATCTGTGTCTTGGCCTTAGAATCTGAAGGTGTCAGGTGCCGATTTTCAGCCTCTGCTGCTCAGGATGGTCTGTCTGTTCCAGGGCCCTGTGGGTCCTGGGAAGGATTCTCCTCCTTCAGAAGAGACGTGGATTAGGAAGACTCCCTCTCCTCTCACTAATGCTCTTAGACATTTTCCTCTGAGACATGACGCCGGGAGCTACTGCAGCCATCTTGGGACCAAGAGACAAAACAGAGAAGCTGGCTCAACAGCCCAGGCAACACTGAGCAAGGAGACCACTTCTGAGACTTTCTTTGATGCCTTGTTCTGTGAGGAAGAGAAACCTTTTTCTGCTAAAGTTGATGGGTAACTGTGGCCTAGAAGCCAATACCTACTCTTTAAATTTTGACATTTTTCTTTATGGCTAAGTACGAGTTGATTTCTGTATATGTCATAACACACACACACACACATATACACACACATTTATTGTTAATATTTTTCCATTGCTTTTTTCCCATTGCTTTTTTAA